AAGCGAACAGTGGTCTTAAATGACACAACAGACCAGTTGGACTTGATAGATATCTACAGTACATTCCATCCAAAAACAGCAGAACACACATTCTTTTCAAGTGCACATGGAACTTTCTCCAGGAGAGATCACATGCTAGGCCACAAAACAAGTCTAAGCAAATTTAAGAAGACAGAAATTATATCAAGCACTTTCTCTGACCACAACGGTATGAATCTAGAAATCAATTACAAGAAGAAAAATGGAAAAGCACAAACACATGGAGACTAAAAAAACAATGGGTCATTGAAGAAATAAAAGAGGAAATCAGAAAATACCTCAAGACAAATATGAAAATGTAAACACAACTTTCCAAAATCTATGGGATGTAGCAAAAGAATCTCTAAGAAGGAGGTTTACAGCAATACAGGCCTACTTCAAGAAACAAGAAAAATCTCAAATAAACCTAACCAGGCTTCCCTGGTGGCGCAGTGGATAAGAATCTGCCTGCTAAAGCAGGGGACACAGGTTTGATCCCTGGTCCAGGAAGATCCCACATGCCACGGAGCACCTAAGCCCATGTGCCACAACTACTGAGCCTGCACTCTAGAGCCCGTGAGCCACAGCTACTGAAGCCCACGTGCCTAGAGTCCATGCTCCGCAACAAGAGAAGCCACCGCAATGAGAAGCTCACTCACCATAACGAAGAGTAGCCCCTGCTTGCCACAACTAGAGAAAGCCCATGCGCAGCAAGGAAGACCCAATGCAGCCAAAAATAAATAAATAAATAATTAAAAAAATTTTTTTAATAAAAACCCTAACTTACTATCTAAAGGAATTAGGAAAAGAACAAACAAAGCCCAAAGTCAGCAGTAGGAAGGACATAATAAAGATCAGAGAGAGAATAAATAAAATAGAGACCCCCAAAATCAATAGAAAAGATCAATAAAACCAAGAGATGGCTTTTTGACAAGATAAACAAAATTGATAAACGTTTAGCCAGGCTCATCAAGAAAAAAATGAAAGGACCCAAATAAACAAAATAAGAGATGAAAGAGGAGAAATAACAACAGATATCACAGAGATACAAAATATCTTAAGAGAAGACTACAAACAGTTATATGTTGACAAATTAGACAACCTAGAAGAAATGGATAAATTTCTAGACACATACAACCTCCAAAGACAAAAATCAGGAAAAAATAGACAATCTGATCAGACTGATCACAAGTAGTGAGGTTGAATTTGTAATACAAAAACTCCCAGTAAACAAAAGACCAGAACCAGATGACTTCTCAAGGGAATTCTACCAAACATAATGAAGAGCTAATACCTGTCCTTCTCAAACTATTCCAAAAAAATAAAGAGATGTAACACTCTGAAATTCATTCTGAAGCCACTATTACCCTGATACCAAAATCAGTAACAGGCCATTATCTCTGATGAATACACATGCAAAAATTCTTAACAAAGTAACAGCAAACCAAATTCAACAATATGTAAAAAGGATCATACAGCATGATCAAGTGGGATTTATTCCAGGGATGCAAGGATGGTTCAATATTTGCAAATCAATCAATGTGATATACTACATTAACAAAAGGAAGGCTAAAAATCATGATAATCTCAATAGATGCCAAAAAAGCATTTGACAAGATTCAACATTCATTTGTAATAAAAATTCTCATCAAAGTTGGTACAGAGGGAACATATCACAACATAATAAAGGCCATTTATGACAAACCAACAGTTAACATCATACTCAACAGTGAAAAGCTGAAAATCTTTCCTCTAAAATAAGGAATAAGACAAAGATGCCCATTCTCACCACTTCTATTTAACATAGTATTGGTAAGTCCTAGCCATCACAATCAGACAAGATAAAGAAAGAAGGGACATCCAAATTTGCAGGTGAGAAATAAAACTATCACTATTTGTAGATGATATGCTTCTACATATAAAAAACACTAAAATCTTCACCAAAAACCCAGTACAACTAATAAATGAATACAGTAAAGTTGCAGGATACAAGATTAATACACAGAAATTGGTTGCTTTTCTATACACTAAAAATGACCTAACAGAAAGAGAAAGCAAAAAAAAAAAAAAAAAAAAAAATTCCGTTTAAAATTGCATCAAAAAGAATAAAATATCTAGGAATTAAACTTAACTAAGGAGGTGAAAGACCTATATTCTGAAAACTATAAAAAACTGATGAAGAAATTTGAAAATGATACAAAAAAATGGAAAGATACACATGTTCTTGGATTGGAAGAATTAATATTGTTAAGATGTCCATACAACTCAAAGCAATCTACAGGGTTAATGCAATTTCTATCAAAATGCCCATGACATTTTTCACAGAACTGGAACAAATAATTCTAAAATTTATATCGGCCCATAAAAGACCCTGAATTGCCAAACCAATCTTGAGAAAAAGAGAACAAAGCTGGAAGTATCATGGTCCCTGACTTCAGACTATACTACAAGGCTACAGTAATCAAAACAGCATGGTGCTGGCACAAAAACAGACACATTGATCAATGGGACAGAATAGAGAGCCCAGAAATAAACCACAAACTTAAGGTAAATTAATCTATGACAAAGTAGGCGGAATATACAACAGAGAAAAGACAGATTTTTCAATAAGTGGTGTTGTGAAAACTGAACAGCCACATGGAAAAGAATGAAATCAGAACTTTTTCTCACATCATATACAAAAATTAATTCAAAATGGATTGAAGACCAAAATGTAAGACCGGAAACCATAAAATCCTTAGAAGAGAATATAGGCAGAACACTCTTTAAAATAAATTGTAGCAATATTTTTTTGGATCTGTCTCCTAAGGCAAAAGAAATACAATAAAAGATGAACAATTGAGACCTAATTAAACTTAAAAGCTTTTGCACAGCAAAGAAAACCATCGACAAAATGAAGAGACAACCTACTAAATGGAAGAAAATATTTGCAAATGATATGTCCTATAAGGGGTTAATATTCAAAATTTATAAATAGCTCATACAACTCAATATATAAAAAAAAAGAACAACCCAATTTTAAAAATTGGCAGAAGACCTGAATAGACATTTTTCCAAAGAAGATATACAGATGACCAACAAACACATAAAAAAATTCTCAACATCGGTAATCATCAGAGAAATGCAAATCAAAACCACAATGAGGTATCATCTCACACCTATCAGAATGGCCATCATCAATAAGTCTACAAACAGCAAATGTTGGCAAGGTTGTGGAGAAAAGGCAACCCTAGTATGCTGTTGGTGGGAATGTCAATTGGTACACCCACTATGGAATACAGTATGAAGGTTCCTCAAAAAACTAAAAACTACCAATGATCCAGCAATTCCACTTCTGGATATATATCTGAAGAAAACAAAAACTCTAATTCAAAAAGATACACACACCTCAATGTTCATAGCAGCATAATTTATAATAGCCAATATATGGAAGCAAACTAAGTGTCCATCACAAATGAATGAATATATATTCTTTATGACATTTTGTGTTGCTTGTGTAAGCACCTGATATTCAGATTTTTTTATTACAGCATAACCCAGCTTATCTTGATTAATATAACACTAACCTTTAATCCACATCTTCTCCTATTCTTAATTTTAATGTATCACTTGATAGGCTGGAGTTTATCATCTTTTTTTTTCAAGAGATCTTGACAGTTATCTTATTGCAACATCAGCCATGCTTGAGAACATCAGCCAACAACAGCCATGCTTCTGTTGCCTTTATAAACTTGGTTGAGTATGTAGTTACTGGGTCAAGCTTTCTCCCATCATTTTTAGAGATTGATACCTGTCTTCTGGTTGAGTGTGAGAACATATAAGAAGTCTGAAGACAACCTTCATTTCTTCCTCGTGCATTATTTTCTTTTTCTGCTTGGATTCCTATACAACACTTTTTTAACCATTTTGTTCAGTAATTTACAATGTTTTGAATTGTTTTTGGATGGCAGACTTGGCTTTTAAGATTTGAAAATTCCTCTCAATCTTTATTTCATGAAAGTTTTCTTATACTATAATTTGGACTATTTTTTTCTTTCCCACTAGTTTTGTTTTCATCTTCAGGATCCCATTATAATTTTCCTTTTGTCCTTATTACATCTCTATCATGTTAGTAATAATCACTTTTATTTTATTCTCTTTTATTTATTTGTTACCTGTTACCATGCCCATAGTGTCTTCAGTCGTTATTCTATTTTTGTTATTTTAAGTGTGACTTTCATATCTGGACTATTTTTATCTTATATGTTTCCACTGAATTTTTATTTTCTTCTGGGTTCTACCAGTTCATTTTACGTATTTTCTATTGTCATATAATCTCCTCCCAGAACCTTTTCACCTGGGCTTTAAGCTCTTTTTTAAAAAGCAATCACACACACACACACACACACACAAGAATACTATTAAGCAGTAAAAAAGAAGGAAATCCTGCCATTCGCAACAATATAGATGGACCGTGAGGGCATTATGGTAAGTGAAATAAGTCAGACAGAGAAAGACATATCCTGTATGATCTCATTTACAGGTGGAATCTAAAAACAGAAACAACAAAACAATCTCGTAAAAAGAGAGATCAGATTTATGGTTACCAGATGTGGGGGTGGGGCAATTGAGTTAAAGTGGTGAAAAGATACCAACTTCCAGTTATAAGATAAATAAGTGCTGGGGATGTCACGCACAACACAATGACATTAACATGATAGCTAACATTGCTGTATGGTATATATGAAAATTGCTAAGAGAGTAAATCCTAAGACTTCTCTTTACAAGGGAAAAAACATTTTTTAATCTATATGAGATGATGGATGTTAACTAAACTTGTGTGGTAATCATTTCACAATATACAGAAGTCAAGTCATTACACTGTACACCTTAAACTTATACAGTCAATCATATCTCAATAAAACTGAATGAAAGAAAGGAACTAGTTCGGATGAAGTCATGAATTGAGAATATTAACAAAAGCATCAACTTTACTCACGTTTTAAATGTAAAGACTTATATGGAAATGGATAATCCTGTTCAGGTTGGTGTTTAATAAACACGTATTTTAAGGCAAATGTTCCACAGAGATTGTTACTTCGTTCTCCAAAATGTAATCTTTAATTCCTAAAAACAAACCAAAAAAGCAATCACATTGTCTATAATTTGAGAATATTGAGAACTATTTCTTTGAACCCTTCTTTTTCTTTGGGAAACTCCTCTATTGTTTTTGTAATGTATATTTGCATTACCTTTCATTTATGTTTTTCCTTTTTTAAAAAAAATATTTGCTTCATTTCCTGTGGTTTCTTTAAGCTAGGAAGAATTCGCAAAAAAAAAGGCTTAAGAAGAAAGTTTCTCCTGCAGCTACCCCTCCCTTTCTCTCATGCAGCATGAACTAGGTTTCTCTGAGATGTCTCTTTGTTCTTCAACGCTTATTCTCGACCGAAAATTTTCTCATTCTATGCTATCCTCTTGGTTATTATGACTCTTTCTTTCAGGAAAACATGTAGTCCAACCCAAGACTTAAAAGTATGTATCAGTTCTTAGCATCCTTATTAGTTTTGGTTTCTGTAGTGTCACTGACCACACAGGGTAAAAAAAATTATGATTTGGAGTTTGGCCATTTTCTTGTTTCTGTGAAGACTGAATTATGGTTTTTATTTTTTTTGTTCCTTTTCTAGTTGTTCTTACGTGAGGGAGAGGACTTGTGGAGGGACTGCTGGTTATTCACCCATCAATTTCTTCTTCTTCCTGGGAGGACAGCTAGATGACATTTCTCACATTCCCTTGCATTTAAGTGTGGTCATGTAACTGAGTTCTAGACAGTAAGATGTAAGAGAAAGTGGGGTCACCACTTCCAGGACTGGACTAGGAAACCTCCCACACATCATTCTCCATCCTCTTTTCTATTATGCAGCAATGTGGAAGCTGCGTTTTGAAGACAGGGGAGCTGAAAGATGGAAGGAAACTGAGTCCCTGCATTACTCCTTGTAGGGAAGCTTCCCCATGGATCAGGACTATCCCCTATCCACTATGTGACTCTGAAGTACATTTCATTTTGTTAAACCACTGAGGCATGAGGATTTATGGAGCAGCTAGAATTACCTTAACAACACAGGACTAGAGTGAAAGTGAGGAAGAAAAAACCCTCCACGTTATTCTTAAGAACAGAAGAGGTAGTTTTAAATAATCTGTTTCATCTGTGAGAAACAAGAAGACGTAAGCCAAGTATTGCAAACTCAAAAGCACACAGAGCCTTGGTAGATAACATAACAGAGTAAAAAAAGGCAAAAGATGTGAAAATTTCAATTACTACACACGAATAAAGAGCTGTATGTTTTAATTAAACTATCCTATATAACAATGCAAGACAATTCAACCATGGACTTTATATTATATTTCAAATTAATTTTTTAAAAATAGAAATTGAAAACAATTTCTATTTATTAAATGTTTCTTTCTTCATTGTCATTACATTGATTTTTTTTTATTATTATTACATTGATTTTTAACTGGAAACCTTACTCACTTTCTTCTGCACCAAGATCATTTAGATCTAATATTCGAGTTATGATAGGCAGTAAATAATTCATTCTTGAAAATGTTAATTGAGAATGATATTTATTTTTATTCTGCTTCATAACGTAAAGCAGCTGTACACAAAGATACATGCTTTGAACATGGAAAGAATCCATGAATGGTCCTTTATACTTTTTGGATAATTACTCCCGAGATATTTCAGAAACTTGGTATTCCAACAGTTTCAGATTTACTTTTTAGTACCGTTTTGCCTTTCAGTGCAGCAATTTCCAGTTGTTTTCTTCATTCATACTATCAGTGTTGATTAAGAAAGGAAATGAATCGATTTTACTTCATTTTCATGAGTTCTGCAACTATATATCCTTTTTTTATATTCAATTTTCATCTTCACAATGTCAGAATTGTAATTCAGCAAATTCTTTTCATTTCCTGAAACTGATTTCAGCATAGGAAAATGGGCAAGATTTTTTCTTGCCAAATGAATTTCCCAAAGACAAGTGTACTGGGCTAAATGATGGCTCCAAAGATACTGTGTCCTAATCCCTGGAAACTGTAAATATTACCCTTTTTGGAAAAAGTGTTAAGGATCTTGAAATGGGGAGATTATTTTGAAATAACTGGGTAGGCCCTAAACGCCATTACAAGTGTCCTTATAAGAGAAAGACAGAGGGAGATTAAACATACAGAAGTGGAGGGGGTAATGTGACCATGGAAGCAGAGACTAGAGTGATGCAGCCACAAACTGAAGACTGCGGGGAGACACAGAAGCTAGAAGAGGTATCTTCCCTAGAGCCTCCTGAGGGAACACGGCCCTCCTAACAGCAGCAAAACTGATTTAAGCCAGCAAAACTGATTTTGGAATTCTGATCTCCAGAACTATGACAGAATAAATCTCTTTAAGAATCCAAGTTTGTGGTAATTTGTTACAGCAGCCACGGGAAACTCATACAACATGCTTTTACTAGAAATGAATGAGAAAATCAAATCATAAACATTCATAATTAATAGGAATTCCCTTGTATAGAAATACTCAAATACATTTTGTTGGGTTATTATTTAAACCTAAAAATAAAATTTTGTTTTATTCTTCTGTTGAGAAGAAGAGGCAAAAATTTTCTTTGGAAGACACGAACAAATTAATTTTTTTTAGTGGCTTAAAAAATGCCTTCACCACCTCATTGACCTAGCTTTGATGTAGTATAGCAATATACCTTATTGTGACTCCACTTCAAGGATGGATCAAGACATGGAATGAATTCAGTTTATGTTAACAACTATGTCCATTATGTATCCTATTTTCAACTTTTTAGCACAAACCTATGCCAATAAATAATGCAATTCTGAAATTGAAGTTTCTTGTTTCTACCAAGTGTGCAACTTTGAATATAAGTTTTCTAAGAAGGCTGAGGTCAACTTCAGCCATCTCACAAATATTCTTTGCAGATAAGCTTACTGATTTTGCTAAGACAACATTAAACTTTTTCAAAGTACGAAAAAGTTGTACTTTGTGAAATTCTACCTATCATAGCCTGATGAAATTGTGAAGTTCTACTTATCATAGCCTAATGTCCAAATTTCTTGGTCCTATCAAAATTTTCATCAAAACTGTTGATGTAGCTAACTCAGTGGTATTTTTTTTTTTTTAAAGAAGATGTTGAGGGTAGGAGTTTATTAATTAATTAATTTATTTTTGCTGTGTTGCGTCTTCGTTTCTGTACGAGGGCTTTCTCTAGTTGTAGCAAGCGGGGGCCACTCTTCATCACGGTGCGCGGGCCTCTCACTATGGCGGCCTCTCTTGTTGCGGAGCACAGGCTCCAGGCGCGCAGGCTCAGTAGTTGTGGCTCACGGGCCTAGTTGCTCTGCGTCATGTCGGATCCTCCCAGACCAGGGCTCGAACCCGTGTCTCCTGCATTAGCAGGCAGATTCTCAACCACTGCGTCACCAGGGAAGCCCTCAGTGGTATTTTTTAATCTCTGTTTTCATCAGCTACAGTAGACAAAGCCCCAAATAATTATTTTCTTTGTTAATTTCTCCTATAATTTCTAAACCATAGCTTAAACATTCTAAGCAATAATGTTTGAGTTATAATTACAAATGTGAATGCTTATTCCTGTTGGAAAACATAACTCTTACTGTATCCAATAGACTTAAAAAAAAAATGCCATTGTGGAAAGCTTTCAATTTGGGGGCAATTTTATGATCCAAAATATTTCAGAAATAAACCTCTAACATTTTGACATGTTAATACCATTTTTAAGTTAAAATATTTCTTTACTTTTTAAAGCTTTAATTTGCCTTGTTCTTGGTTTTCTACCTAGTTCTCTTTATGGTTTGTTTTATAAAGATGATTTAAATTATACTCTTTCAGCACAGATAGGTTTTGTTTGCATATGATGCATGAAGGAACATTCTTCACATCCACAGAAAAAAATATACACTATAATATTTTTCTTAAATGAGCAGTTCTCTCACTCTTTCATCCCCCTCACTTTTTGATGGACATATGTATCTAGAATAGGCATCAAGAATATTTTATTTCCTATTTAACACTAGATTAAGAAAAAAGCATGAGTATAATGATAAAATACAACTGAAACTTAGTGTCAGGGAGGGGTGGAGTTTGTAGCAAACTAGACTAATATGTTCCATCTAAAGGGGGTAGTCACAGCCTATTGTTGCAGCAGGATCTGAGATGTATTGTTGCCAGATCTCTCACTTTAAAAGAAGCTGGAATTCAGGGTTTCTAATAAACCTCCAAATTTTTACATGTTGGCAACTGAATTAAAACTTAAGACCTATGACTCAAGGGGAGAAAAAAGAAAACTGATGAGAAAAGTGGGATGAAATATATAAAATATGATGAGGTAAAAATAAATTAATCAAGAAAGAATTGCAAAGACATAAAAAATGCAATTCAAAACTTTGAATAACTATTTGCATGCAGTAAAGAACAGTAATGTCATCCAGAAAACCTAAGCAGTGACCAAAATGATTTTGAAAATTTCTCCTGGCATGCAGAATAAAAAGAAAAGTGAAGAACATGACTAGTAAAAAAGATGATCGATATGCAGAATAAAGATTAAAGATTTAAACTAACAGTTATGATCTCTGAATTTGGAACAACAACAAAAAAGGTAACTGAAAAGAAATTATAATCAAAGACAAAACTGAAGGCAATTTCCAATTTGACAAATCACTTAGGTATCATGTTAGATTATTTTCTAAAAATGTCACCAAATATTCATCCACCCCAAATCTACACACGTTACCACTCCTCTCATCAATAGGTGGATTCCATTTCTCCATCCCTAAATCTGAGATGTCCCTGTAACTTACTTTGACCAACAGAATGTGGTATAACTGACAATATGCCAGGCCTCAGGAGGCCTTGTGTGCTTCTATTCTATTTCCTGATACACCATCATCACCATGTGAAAAAGCTCAAGCTAGCCTACTGAAGAATGTATATCAGAGGAAAATCATCCTACCTGAGGCCAACTCTCAGTGAACCTGCTAGGTGATCTCCATCACTTGAGTAATTCTAAAGAAGAACAGCCAAGCCTAACTCTTATCATCAGAACTAC